TTTTGTTTTTTTCTGTTGAGCGGAAGAGGTGGCACTACAGGCACTGGAAGTTACCTAATTTTGGGAAATGGAGAGGACTCAGGAAATAAAAAAAAATATTCCCTCTCACTTTCAAATATATCTAACAATTTCAAGGTGCCTACAAGAAGCCAGGTGGCTTTGGAACAGGGAAAAACCACAGAAAGATCCCTTAGTTTTCCACCAATGGAAAGAGCTCATGAGCACATGGAGAAATTCAGAACACGCTGCCTATCGACTACTTAGACAGCAGGCAAAGAAGGCATCCCGGAAGAGAGTTAAATCCAATAGTACGTATTTGATCCTCTTCACTTTTCTTGGCGTTAAAAAGCAGCGTGGGGATAGTGCTTGCAGCCAACATGAGAACAGGTGAAAAGAAAAGAACTTGGAAGCACTGAAAGTAAACACCACAACAACTGGGATTTCCCAGCATGGGAGTGACAAAATTTTGTATTCATGCAATTAATCTTCTTGTTAATCTAAGTCTATATATTAAGCACGCTGACTGCTAGATAACAAATAGTTCAGTAATTTCTTCAATTTCAGAAAATACAATGTTTTGTAAAGTTCAAATTTAACCTTCCATAAAACTGGCGTGAATGTTGTCAACATGAAAACATTTGGAAAAATGTCCCCATCCCAAATGATACCTTTCTTAAATTACCATACTAGAATACGGCTGGGAAAAATTGAAGCCCAACTCATTTGCAGTACATAAGAAGAGGGTTAGGTCATGTGTTTAAGAAGCTCTACTAGGTTAGGAATTTGTCTACAACAGAATTTATATTTCAAGAATTGGATTGAAATCATACACAAAAAAATTCACTAATTTTTTTTGATTTCAATTTGATAGATTACTTTTAAATATTTAGAAGTGGAATTGGCACATACAATTAACAATTTTTCTATATCAAATGGTCACGGAAACCGGTACGACCCAACATTATACATGCATTTTTTTTTCCTCTAAGTCAGATTATGTGTATTATAATTCAACTTTGGAAACCACAGTTCCTAAGTAACCGGACGAAACTTAAAGACTGACAAACCAAGGGTATTTTCATTAAGTAATGCAGTGCACATGGTGTGCAATAAGTGACCATACAGTAATCAAATTTGTGTCTCTTGCCTCTAATCTCCTTGCTAGAGTAGCTTGCAGTAACTATACACTCGGAGTTGCTTGGTGGATATTATGACATTTCTTCCAGCTTTTACACTCCAATGGAGTCGATTCTAGTAACGCTGGAAACTATGTGAATGCTTTTTAAACCAACCACATTCCATTTCTTAGAAATGCAAGCTAGTTCATGTGTTTACCAAGATTGGCTTATAGTAGGCTATTCTGAAAATTATGATAATACTGAATTTTATATCTCTTTCCAATATTTAATAATCTGTAGAATAAATTTATTGGGTTCACTAATCTATATGAAATCAAATTCCAACTACACAGTTACTGTCATCTTTTATGTCAGCAATGATAATTTACAGGTGTTCAGATGTTTGCAAATAAACTTAATTGAGAACTGGAAATCACCACATACTCAAAATGCGTATCAGCATCCTAAGACAACAGAAGGAAGGCAAGATGAGCAGGGCTCTGCAACTAAAAGCTTTTTTCAAATTGACAGACAGGAATAGCTAGTGACTCAGCTCACTCAGGTTTCATAACTTATGTTGTGCATTAAGCAAATTAATATTTCATATATACCTAAAGTGAATACACACAGTGTTCCATGCACAAATCGATTACACGTCCCTGTTGTAAACAGTCCTAATACCACTGAGCGAGATACCAGTCAAGGAAAATGGATGGAAAAGGTGAGGGAAACAGTGAGAAACCAGAAGACGAACCAAATGTGTACTAGGAGTCTCACTAACATTGTGTCTTTTCTTAAATCAGTTTAATGTTAGGATTATAAATCTTGCAAAAAATTAGGCTTTCTTTCCCACTGCCCCCATTTATCACAGAGATTAGAAACAACTTGCCTTGAGGAAACAAGCAAGAGCCTAAGTTAGTGTGGAAACGATAGGGTGGTGGGGGAGACAAAAAGGCTACTCTTTAGCAGCTGTAGTCCTCTGACATGGAAACTTCACATGTGTACATTCAGGCTGGGAGTACACCTATGCCCAAGCGCTGAAAAACAGATAACCCATACAGCCCACACAACTCCACACAATCCCATCCTGTAGGGATGCTGCAGATCCTGCGCTTCCAAGTTTCGCTCGACCTCAGGACTCCTAGAAACGTTCAGGACTCTCAGCAAGAAGGCGGTATGCTGGAAACAGGTACGAACAAACTGTTTCAGAGGAATGCAGCCACTGCTCCTCCCTTTCTCTGAGGAGCACTTGTCCATATGCACATCCACAACATGCACAACTCCAAGAAGTCCCCTTTGCAACATCATTTACCCGAAGAAGGTCTCCAGAGTCTCCAGTGGAATGAAGACTGAGACTCAAGGAAGTTCTTAAGGTAGCTGCAAGCATCTTATGGTACAACCTCTCTGTCTCTGTGGTCACCACTATCACTTCAACTCTAGCGCGCAGAGCAACAAAGGTAGTCCTTGTCACGTGACTGACTGACAGTTTGATACTGACTGCTGGGGCAGCTCAAAGTGACTGCTGGCACATGACTTTGGTGAAGGTACTCATCACAGCAAACCCTTGGCTAAACACCAGAACCTTGTCTTAACCCTCCGTGAAATGATGAAGCTACTTCTCCATGAGGAGATCTGGCTGAGGCGTGGGAATACACATGGGGGAAAGAGACAGGCAGCAGTCCTTTGCTGAAGCAGTGGTATACCAGTGCCAGGCTTCACCACCTGCATTTAACTCCTACTCTGCAATTCAGTTTTTGCTTGCTTAACTCAAAGCGACAACACCCTTTCCTGCAAGATGAACTGGAAAAGACTATATAGCTTGCAAGGGCAGTAAAACCTTCTCCTTACCTATTAGGAGGCTCTGAGGGGGAAGGGAATGAGAAGGTTGGAATGAGAGACAGGAGTGTAGAAACAGTGCAGACTGCAAAGCATTGCCCAGTGTTTAGTACCTCCTTGCTGGATAGTACAGACTGTCAGGTGAAAACCAAAGAGTCTCTTTACCAATTAATGATAAACCAGGAGCTAAGTGAAGGAGACAGCTGCAGATGGACATGAGTATCTCCCTAAAGTTTCCTTAGCACTGAAGACTGAGATGTAGAGGAAGTCTGTGAGGAGGGTTGGTGCAGGTATCACCACTGTTTTTATTGTTCCTAACAGCTCGTTATGCCTCGAGAGGTGGAATAAGCTGGACTGGACTGAGGGCAGAAAAATGAGGCATATAGTTAATACTATCCTCATCTAGGGGAGAGGGAGAGAGGAAAACTTCCTCAACACCGTGCTGCAGCCAGCACTGTCCCCCTCTTTCTAGGCCTGTGACTTGAATCCCCGTGCAGATGAAACAACGAAATATGCCTCACAAAATGGCCAACTGCTGAAGCTCATCCGGGCTGATTAAAAAAAAAAAAAAAGTGCCAATTTGAAAGAAAAAGCAGGTAAGAACAAAGCCCATGATGAAGCTCATAGGTAATGGAAATGAAAAGATCTCACCTCAGCCAGGTGACTAAGGAAAACAGACAATTTGGACTTGGACCGCTCATTTTTACCAGGAGTCACAGAGAACGTGCATGCTGACATAAATATGCCCTAGTGCATATTGAGTTTTGTTGAATTTTGTTTATTTAGTGAGGTTTTTCCATGTGCAGTGGATGAGCACAGTGCTTTTTCTTCTATTATGAATGCTTTTTGCAGGGACACGTACATGCTTTTCTGAGACCTCTCTCTGCAAAAAGAACATAGGCTTTCAAAGTTAAACACAATACACTATCTGAATTACAAGGAAAAAAAATGAGTGAATCATGTTAAGTTGTACATAGAAAATATTTTCTGATATCAGATGCAACTTATTTGAACTGGATCCTTTGAAGTAAGATGCATTTCCCTGGAATATATAATTACCTTCTGTACATAACTCTTAATTATACTCCTCTTATAACTTCTTACATCTCCAAAAAGTTAAAAAATGTGTTACTTGGCCTAGACGTGCATAATGTTTTTTTTTTTAAAAAGTTACTTGGCCTAGACGTGCATAATGTTTTTCAGCTCTGACTCATGCATTCCATCATATTTTAGCTTTAACATAAAAGGATATCTTGTTTTTTAAATTGTTAGCTATTTCATTACATGAATCATGAGCAAAAACTATTTACTGAAAATACTCTCTCAACTACTGAGAAAACAAAAGCAGTCAAATACACTCCTCAAATCTAACTTAACATTTTTCCATGACAAAAATGACATTGCTCCACACAGAGGAATGAAACATATCTTCACACTGCACAGTACTGTACATCCCACAGGAAATTTCTTTTTCGTAAGAAAAAAATGCACTAGTCTACACAATATGAAATGTTCTATCTGAATTCGATTGTCTGTTATTTCCCTCCTTATATCAATATTTAAATATCTGTAGTAAGAAGGCCTAAAACAGAAAAATTATAAAATTATTAGCAGCTTAAAATAAGATTCTAAACATTTAGGTGTAGCTAATACTTTATGATACCCTGACAAATATCTTAAAGGCTGCCACTGCACCAAGTTTTAGAACAAAAACCTGCCTGAATCAGGCAGGTGGACTTCCCAAGTCTTCACGTATTTTCTGTTTAAACGTTTCCCCAAGTGATCCTTGTCATCTGCTCTCCTGCAGTTTCTCACAACCCTATAACTTTCACATTACAAAAGCAACTGCAGTCCTCGTAACAATATACAGTAAAACGCACACAAATTCAGTTGCTTTCAGATCCTAAATGCAACAAGGAACAAGGATGCAGAAGATACTGGAACGCATCTCTGACACAAAACCACTTACTCGAGCTAAATTTACACCTTTCACTCATCTGAAGTGATGAGTTTCTTAATTCTCCCAGCTTAACAGGGTGTTGAAAGTGTTGCATAAGCAATCAGAAAAATATCCCAGAAACAAACTAAAGCATGCTCACATAACATATAGTCAACCTGTTCAGTGAACAGATTCTTTTAAATAAAAAGAAAAATAGGTCTTGCAGGAATCTCGAGAGATACCCATTCCATCTGCCTATCTCAAAAAGCAGAATCAATTCTGCCTTAACTATTTCTAGGAGAAGTTGGTTTAAATTTCTTAAATACTTCTAAAGTGAGGAACGCGCAGCCACCCCTCCTACCCCACAAGCAATCTTTGCCAATGCCTGATCATTATGAATTTTTTCCTAAAATCTGAACTACACCTCCTTTGCTCCTACTGCACTATTTCCTTCCTCTTTGCAGACATGCTTTGCACGTTCAAGGACTCATCTCTCATTTTTCTCCACCCTCAGCCTTTTTTTCCCCCCCGCTCTGAATAACCTCATTTTCTTTAACCTTTTCTCCTAAAGCACGTTTTACAGACAATCAATCGTGTTGTTCTCCCTGTGACTCTCTACAAGTCTTCCCCAATCTTCTTGGAGAGTGAGGTCCAGATCTGGAAGCAGTACTCCAACTCACAAATTGATCATTTCCTACAGTGTTTGACCATGAATTTAAAAATCCCCAGCAAACCCCAACTCTCCCCCACAACTTAGATTGCTACAGAAACCAGTCTACCAAGCGTGCAAGAGACATACACTGCAATCATCTGCACGGCTCACCTGTTTTTGAGATGTGCTGCCAGGTCACATCGCTGCATTACCTCCTGACATACTGAAGAAAAGGGGCATAAAACAAACAACTTGTCTAACAGTTTATGAACGAGAATGCTGGATTTTTTGCAGAGTTTAAAATGGAGTCTTTTTCGATCCAGCGGGCAGAAATCCTTCTCCTGTAGGAAGTTCCTTAGGCACTTGTAGCAGAAAGTGTGTCCACAGGGAGTGTCCAATGGCTGCAACAAGGGCTGAAGGCAAATATGGCAGACCAAGTCGTCATCCACTTCATTCTGGTAGTTGTACAAGTGATTCTCCCTTGTCCAGTGCTGCTGGCCACACTCAAAGCACAAAGGGTTCAAGGAGGCATTCTGCTCCACCAAAGCCATGTCATCATTTGTAGTCCCCATTGCACAGCTAAGACTGTTGAAGAAGCCTCTTCCTCATAGGACAGATTTGTTCCCATAAATCTCAGAGAAGAAGCAGCTGTTCTTTAATCAAGTGTCATTTTCTGCAACAAACAACAGAACAAAAATTATTAATTTAGCATGAAATATGAACCTTATCAAGAAACAACAGTTAGTTAACAGGTTTTTTTTTTTCCTGGAAATTTGCCATAGAAGAGAGTGATAAAAAAAAAAAATCCATAAATACAATTTGTTTTACAACAGAAACATTTTACTGCCTTATAACAGCTGCTCCACTGCATAGTTTTCACCTGCAAGATGACCAGCATATTAAGAGCAAGGGTATTACATTATGCTATCTCACACGAGAAGCAAACAATTAGTGTCTAGTTCAAGATTATTCCATTGCGGAATAATGGTTATATGACCAAGTAATTAATTATGTCCTTTAATACATGATTATGATTTTATTCAGTAATCTGGTCCTACTCTTCTTTTTGGAATTTGGCTATTAATAAAGAACATCGCAAATTAAAAGTCTAAATACTTTAAAAAAAAAAAAAAAAGAAATGACTGCTTACTCTGTTCTTTCCGTTATTAATCATTGTTATATGCCACAACTTCCATTCAGGTTTTCTCTGTGGATTGCTACACATTGCGAGGAACTAGTTCTATGCAGTACAAACACATTTGATTTAGTACATAGTCCAGAAATAAGAGTATGGAATAAAGTAATCATATGAAGCATTGGTTCTAAACAACCACCCTCTTTTGCTTTACACCTAACACAATCAAAATTGCAGCATGCTCAATGCGTTGATAACCGTGTCAGACAAAGGAATGCATGTCTGTCACTATGGGAATCATTTTAAACTTCAACAGTTATTAAAGTTTGCCTGTCTTAAAATAGCTGCATGGTCAAGAAACTGTGCAACCATCAGCCTATCATTTCAAACACTAAGTCCCTACCCTTACCGACTTTATCTGTCCTTCTCTCCATTTCTAAATCATTCTGTTGTGAGACTGAAGCAACATGATTTTCTAATTAAAACAAGCTCTCCCACGTTTAAGAAACCTGTTAATCCATTAATTTTGGCAAGTTAAAGTTTAAAGAAAAAAAAGAAATCAAATTTAAGTCATGCTTATTTTGTGCCCAAATTCTTTATTAAAATCATGAGGCTCACTTAAAATCATCATCATAAAGCAACAATCATGAGGCTCACTTATATTCTAATAAAGCAATAGCAAGCATATAGAGAAATGAAAACTGCTAGTCTTTGTACTAACCTATCATCTTTATTTTTATCTGCTGAAATATAGTCATAAAATTCACATGAAACACATGGATTTCACAATGCCTTATTTTTTAAGAGAAGTGCTGTTTTGGTTTTTACCCCTTAGCCTCGCGCAGCCAAGCACAAGACTTAGAGCACATTTTGCAAGGATTATTATATCCCTTGACGCAAAAAGGATTAAATAGTAATTTGTAATCCAGGATTCTATCCTGCTTTGGAAATTGATGCTCTTCATTGCCCTCTCTTGTAGTAGATAACATGTACCTTCTGGAAAGGATTTTACGAGGGAATAGCATTTCAGTTCTTTGTTACAGGAGACTAAGAATGAGACCTCAAAAGAGATTACTTAAAAACAGTCTTAAACATATTATGTAAGGATATGAAGATTGGAAAGCAGATAAGGAGACTAGCACACAGACCCTCACGTGCACAAACAGCAGCTCTCTAACTAGACGTGCCCGCTCCTTGACTAACACAGAAGGAACGAGACTGGTTTAAAGGCGGTTCTTTATGTAACACAAAATAAATCACTGGGTAACTGTTCTAGAAAAACACTGTGTTGATCTGTGACCTTACCAAATCATTTTGCCACTCACGGCTCTAGGGAAACCAACACAAACACTGGAACCTGTGGCATGTATTGTATTTTACTTAGATGCACCTGGAAGATTAACAGACATTAGCTGTGGACCAAGGCGTGCAGAATGAGCTGAGGAAGCCATTTTAAGAGGGTGTCGTCCAAATGCTAGACCAGCTCCTACAATTAGCCAAGAGTAGGACTCTTTCTCCTTCTCACCCAGATCACAAGAAAGGAGGAAGAGCTACTTCAGCAAGGCTACAGAAACACCCCAGGACCACGACGTGTACTTCAGACCCAGTTATGGAGCCTTGATGGCGAGCATCTTGAATCCTCCTTTAGAAAACACAATAGGCTTCCCTCATTTATATCCTTCGAAGTCTATGTTACTCACACCGCAGTCTTCTACAGAGCACAATGCGATGTCATACAGCAAATAGATCTGTGAGATGCTTGCTATGGTCAAAGATAGCAGCATCAGTCTTTTGGAAAGATGTGCATAAAATAATTTTTATACATTAAAACTTCTAAAATAGAAATCATAAAATTTGAACAAAAAGTAAAATAAGAAAAGTTCTTGAGAGACCAGGCCTTCAGTGGGATGTTTAAAATTACCATGAGAAACTTTGTTAGGAAGTTAAAGAATGGTAAATCCAGAAACAAGCTCTGTTTACTGAAATCACAAAGATATATCCTCACTGACACTCAAGCAGTTACTCTCTAGTGGTGGTGACTCACTAATGTGAGCAGACAGACCTATTCATAAGACGGCCACCACGTGAATATCTTAATAGGGTTCTCGCAGTGACAAAGCTGTTGTAAGAGCCTAGGAACCTCGTTCGACACGAGAGCCGGTCTCCCAGCCCTGCTGGCAGACAGGGTGTGCACGCCTGATTGGGAAGGGTGGGAGTTCAGGCCATGGGCAGACAGGCACCATCAGATCCATATCTGCTGGTTGCTGATATTGCCTCCGGCTGCTTGGCAGAGCCGTTGGTGCCCTGTTAGCTTACACAACCCATAAAGATCTAAAGATCTGACTGCTTTTTTTGGACCTGACAGCACTTTCACAATCTCTCTGTCAGCAGAGCGGTGGGAGTGGTAACACCCCGTACAAGGGAGCAATAAACCGACGGCAGTATCCGTGACTGAGAAAAGTATCGGCAAAATGAACGTTTGCCCATGGCCTAAGCGTGCCCTGTTGGAAGCAGACTGCTGCTTCTCTGCTAGAGGAGCCTCTTCTAAAGGAGTGAGACACCTACTCTGCTGACCCTCCGCTCTTGGGAACTGCTAGCTGTCTCTTGATTTCACAGCAAGTTCCCCTTTTTTTTCCTCCTCAAATAGTTCAAACATTATAAAAGTGCTCACTGCAAGAAACAGATAATCAATTACAACATGAAGATTCAAAAAAAAAAAGCTTCCTTGACTCCTGTGTTGCATTTAGGGCAAGCCTATTCAGGAATAGAAGAATTATTCGCTAGTATTTGTATAGATTATATAGCACAGCTGTCTAATTATTAATTCCAAGACTTTTTACAGACTGTTCCCAATGAAAAATATCTGATTTACACAGCCCACAAACACAATATTTATAGTCTGAGTGACAACTGGGATTGCAGGCAGAGTCTAAATTTCACTAATTTACAGGCACTATATCCCTGAAACAGTACCAGGGCACTGCAATTTATAATATGGTATGTTATCCTTCCTTATGTATGCCTTATATTATTTGCTGTATCTGGTATGACTGCAGATCAGCATCTCCACAGGACCTATCAGCTCAGGAAAGCTGCAAAAAAGGTAGAACAGTCTGAAGAATAAAAAATAAACAGAGTGAAAGAGCCAGCCAGGATTCTGTTTTTCAAGGCATGTAATTCCCTACCCAGGACTTCATTATAAAAACAGAGCAGGGCAGGTGGTGCGCTGCTTTCAGTTTTAAATCACAATCCATTTGGGAACTGGGCATGACTGGACAGCCAACTGTGCATTTATTTATTTATTTTAAATAAAGCATGCATGCAAGCAATTTTAGTTTGAAAAAGATCATCTTATTCATAAGCCTTCTGTAGTTCTGATTTATTGATTCAACTAATAATATTTGCAGAATCTTGACAAATTTTTATGCAGGCATAAGATGTTAGACTTTATATCTAAAAATAGTTTTCATGATTTTTATTCCTTCCCTACGGATAGGTACTATAAAGCACACATCCAAACCAGAACTGCAGCAATAACTAAACCCTCGCATTAACTAACTTCAGATGGAAGGTAATGGAAAAATGTATTTTGCAATTAATGTTATGAGAGATTTCTGAATTTCCTCATCAAAATATTGGTGATTTAGATCCCATTGACTGACTGTTAAAAACTCTACAACAAATCTAACAGTACCCTAAAACCAACCAATTAAGGAAAATACCACTTATCAACAAAACCCTATTAAAACTACCTTTAATATACACCATAGTTTCCCATTTTGTTTACTACGCTATGCATTTTCCTCAACCAAAAGTAAAGAGTAAAAGAACACCCTTTAATGAATGACACCACTGCTCCTTTGCTGTACTCCAGTGCCCCTGCAACCAGTGTGCCTTGAAAACAGATGGGACGCAGGTCTCAATTCTGTAGCTAACAATTATTTATGCCAGAATGGTCATTTTCTCAGTGAAATGTTATCTAACCAATGAATCAACGTCCAATTTAAACTATGTGATTTAAATAAAGTGAAGATGCAAAAATATCTACCTTTATTTCCTCTCAGTTCAAGGCCACCATATGCTAGCTGGTTCTTCTCATCTCAGAAGGCTCTAAATTTTGTGGTCTGACAACAGCATAGAGGGAGAGGGAGAGGGAGAGGGAGAGGGAGAGGGAGAGGGAGAGGGGGGAGTCATAACAACCATCTAAGAAGTTATAACAACTAAACAGTACTGTGAAGGCTTCACATGGCCCTAAACACAATCCTTTCCTGATCAGTCAGTCAGATTTGTACTTGCAAGGTGATATATAATTGCTCTTATAAATCTATCAATAACTCTGAACAATAGTATGGTCACCCCCCTGGATGATGCTTACTCAAACAGGACAGGAGTCCTGAGGTCTGTTCTCAGCCTTGCACTACCTCCTCATTTCCATGGTACCCGAGCACCCAAGCTCGGAAGGATGAACCTTGTGCTCTCGAAATTCCCCTGCTGCGTTTAAATGCTAAAGTTGCAAAGATAATCTTTTAGCAGCCAGGTGGGGTGGGTTAACACAAGGTGTAAGAGAAGATGACTAGGTGTGGTTACAGTCATTACTTAAAACTACATCAAAACCAGATCAAAAATTAATCCTTAGTTCCCAGGCCAGTACCCTCCACAGGAATTACAGTATCAGCTGATGATTCATAACTGCTCTAGAAGCAGACAAGAGTTTGAGTGGACTATTAAAAGACAGCAGAAACTTTCTGTAATAAAAACATGATGAATATAAATAGCTAGCATACAGTACTAGAGGGGAAGAGTGTTATTTCACATCTTCCATTAAGCGTGACCTAGCTTACTAGCTACAATCTCTGTTTTAATATTAAAACTACACAGCAAACAAGTGAAGCAGAACTAGCAACTTGTATTGACTTTATAATATCCATGTTAATTATTCAGATACTGCCTTCAAATGCAAAAAATCCAATTCTGCCTCTAGTGCAAGTTAGCACAGAAATAATCCTGTTAGAGTCTTTTTCTTTTGAAAACACAAACAAGCCGAAGTGCTATGATGTCAAAAGACGACATCTGGTAGCTCAAAGCCAGAAAAATATAACAGAGATAGGAAGAGCACATCAACTGTACTCTGACAGATTTCTGTTAACGTAACAGCAATGCTTTCACTGAATCCTGATATCCAATATACCTATTTTTTTGCTGACAGTCAACTCTGTTTTCTATATTTTTTAAGTCATTCAGCAGAATGATGGAATTTTACATTCAAGCTAAAAAAAATGTTGCAAAAACACTGAATTTGTTCCTTGTTCAAAACTGAACCACAGTTCAGCAATGCTGGGCTTAACGGCAAAACCATCTCTTCACAATGTTTTTCCCCTCTCTGTGCTCATCTTCTTTTTCCATCACAGCAATGCCCACAGAGCAAAAACGTTAGTGGTGCGCCAGGTGCCGACAGGACACCGGCCTTGCAAAAGCGATGGGTTACGGACAACGCCTGTGTTTTCGCACCTCAGAAATTCAGGCTTAGGGTTTATTAAATACATAACTTCCTAAAAATAAGCCAGGCACACACAATCCACTTTCCAGTATTTCTGAAGGCAACTTTGCAGGTTGAGAAACAAAACCTTGCTTAAATCTGGTGAGTGAGGACTGCCTGGGAAAACTAATATGAGTGTAACTCATGCTCCATGTTTGTGGTGTGCTACGTTTCCATGGCGACGGGGGCTACGGGCTTGAATTACAGCAGCTACTTTAAGGACGGGAGTCTCTTTTAGGAATACCTGCTGTACATTTCCTTATGAAAAATGCCGCAAGACTGGGAAAAATTAAAACAAGAAATCCCTATGTCAGACCCTCTGACCCATAGCTGCCTGTGAAGGTTTAGAGGATCCAAGCAAAGAGCTCATCAGTGAATGAAAAGACGTAAAGAAAGGAGAAACCAGGCACAGATCTGGCAACGCGAGACCATCCGTCTTCAGGACAGGCCATGGGCGACTCCCGTCTCCCAAAACGACGCCACCAGCGGAACAGGGATGCGCTGCACGAAAGGACCAGGGGAAGAAGCAGAAGGAAACGACACCAAAAGATTAAACCAGCAGCCGGAAGCTTTTGCTCAAAGCATGTGAGGATCGTCAAGCAGCCATTTTCTAGAGCACAAAATGGAATGGCTTCTATTTTGGGAGCAGGAGATTAAAATAGCTTTAGTTTAGACAAATCAGGCTTGAACGAGACAGCAAAGATACGGACTGTAACCACACAAAGGGCTCCGCAATGAAATGTCCATTCGTTATAACAAATACAGAGCTACATCAGACAAATCGTCTCAGAATAGAAGAGAGAGAGACAAGAAGATGAATGTTTAATGAAGCAATATCTACACATCAGAAAAATTAAAACAGATTAAACTTGGAATATTTATACTGAACAAGAGGAGCACTGAAAATATAACAAAAAACATACAAATCAAAAAACATACAAATCAGCCTGTACAGACAAATCACCTATATTCTGATAGAGGCCACTTTCTCAACCTGCAGGAAACATGGGTTTAAAACCCCACAGAAAGAGGAAGATCTTGGACTTTGGTCCCTTGAGATCTGTTGAGATTTTCAGTAATGCAGGCAACAATACAACATTTTTCTCTCTCCGCCGTCCCTACCCTCCCGGTGCAGCAGAGAGGCAGCGGGTGCCATTACGATTTGCGAGAAGCTCCCGTTCTCTGCAGGTACATTCAGTTTTCTGGTAACTGGAATCAGGCAGCTTTTCCGAGGCGAGAGAGCGCCTTGCTTCTGGGTGCTAATCGAGCCAGGTGCCAGGACGCCGAGCTGCCCAGCTGTGTCCCGACAGGGGCTCAGTGGTACAACAAAACCTTCGCGTGCTGGCTCTAACCCTGGCAGTTCAGATGCTCCCAGGGTCACGCCACAACTGGGTGGGAGATCCAGGTTCGCAATGTTTAGGCCCAAGTGTTTAAACACGCTCTCCCTGAAGCTCCTAAATCCTTCTGGGGATTTTGCAGTGGTGAAAAATAAATAAAATGAAAGTAAAAATAGCCCACACTTACCTGCAATAACTCCGGTAGAGCTAAAAAACAAACTCCCTTCCTAGTGCAAAGAGAATAACCAAAACAACATTTCATTACCATTTTCATAAGAGGTAGGCTTTCCTGTCCAGTAAGAGTGAACAAAGTACCCCAACAATCAAAAATTTAACTGAAAGGAGACAATTAGTGAGTGTCACAATTTCTGTGGCAGAGCACAGGAAAAAGGCAAGAAAAAATAAAACATCTGCTTATCCATCACGGTGATTTCCTGCAGTGCAATCTGTCCCACAGCCCTTGACATATGCACCATCCCTTCTGTTTGGAGCGATGAAGGCACCAGAAAGCTGTCGATCAAGATGCTAAACCTTCGGTAAAGCCCACCCCCATGCACTTTGCCCTGAAACGAGGGCATTTCATGGATGAGCAGAAAACACTTAACTAGATTAAACATAGCTGGTTCCTGGATATGCACAGACACAATTTGATTTGATTGTTACAGGTTTTAAGGAATCCGAAGTAACTCAAAGAAAATAAAGGAGGAAACGAGCTGTGCTCCCTTTTTAGCTTTTCTGCTCACCTGTACAGTAATCTCCAATCTCTATGGGTGTGAATGGAGAAAATCCAAGCAGATGACAAGCTTAGGTTATTCTCAAGATGGCTTCATGACAGAGAAAAGCTGGGTGGAGGGGAGGAAAGAAGAATAAAAGAACTTTCCACGTACTTAAATTTCAGGAGTAAGTACTTTCAGGGAGAAACACCAACCCCATGTCTTCCTGCAGGCGTAGGCCATCTTGCCTAACACGTTAGATCTAGTTTTCTCCCCTCAAACACAACCTAAGCGATAACTGAAAGCTATTCTGAAAGGTAAACCACACTGTGACTGAGTAGTTCTTTAACACAGCAAAGTTATAATAAAATGAGGTTACCTCCTACTGATCTAATGAAATAGAACAATTTACCTCAAAATTTCTAAGATCTATACGAGGAAGCCAAGAGTTTCTGCCCATCTGCAATGCTCCTGGCCCGCAGGAGGAACCTCTGAGACAGAAAGCAAGGAGGGCACTCAAACGTCTCACTAAATGATAAGCCATATATTTTCTTTGCTCTGCATACAAGCGAATACTTTGAGGTGAGGAGTGCCATATGGCCTTAAAGGAGCCACAGAAACACTTAGGACAACCTAGGCTTAGAGGAAGACATCTCAAAGAACATGAGAAAGAGCGCACAGGATGGTCTGGACAGAAGGCTTGAGGCTTCAGTCTCCAGCCTCAACCTGCCAAAAACTATCCTGGCAGTTCAGAAGCATCACTTGAAAAAATTAAGTCAATCATCTAAACCAGTCTACCCAGACTAGAGACTACTTACTTACTCCCTAACAAAAGAAAACAAATATCACCACATCAGGATGGAGGAAGCTCCTAAAAACAAACAAACAAACAAAAAAAACCCCTTCCTTATTCAGCAGTCAAAACAGTATTTAACTCAAGCTTTCCACATGCAGGCAAAATTAGCCATGAGATATTACTAATTAACACCCGCGCTACATGTGGAGTGACTGGACCAGCTCATCACCTCTTCCACGCAGTCTGCAGCACAGAGCAACAGGCAGCAGCTCACAAGCTGTGCTTACTCCAGCCACAGCAGCTCCTTGGCGAGCAGGTAACTCGTGCTAAAAGCATTACCACGCTCGAGTGAAGGAGCCTCTGTGTGTGCGTGTGTATGGGAACGAAGTTCAGGATACCATCAACTAGCTGCAACTTGACTTAACTCCGTTCTTGGATTCTTTGATTATAAACTCTTCAGGGTGCAGATTGCGCCTCTCTCTCTGTTTAACTCTACTAAAGACGTTTCACTTGAACGTTGTACCTAACTCAGTTTGCATTTATCCAGAGAAACCTCTCTGATCCGAGCAGAGTTATTTTCAGCACCAGCTGATTGACCCGGCTTTGGAGCCTGTATTATAGGTAGAGCGTAACTTAGCCACATGCTCTTGGTGATTTATCCACAACACCTCTGTATTGTTTAAAGCAGCGTGTAGCAGAAATCTGGAATTTTACATCAAGATCTCCTGCTTAAGTTCTTTACATGTAAAGGAATTAAACCTCTTAGACACACATACTCTATACATGGATACTGCAAATAAAAGGCTCCATGCATAATCAGAATTTATATAACAAGAACAACACGTTACATTTAGAAGTTGGAGTCTTAAATATTTAAATATTATCTTAAATAAAAATATGTAAATATTCTGTATATAAACAGCTCTTTATATACATAACATACTAGTACTCCATCCAGAGTTTTACAAATAGCCTTCAGACAGGAATCGGAGAGGGAAGTAGACATTCAGCTGATTATGTAAAGTCGTGTCCGGTTATATAAATAAATTTGACAGAGACAGAATATGGACACAAACACAACTGCATTTGTTTTAGTCAAAAGCTAGGAATCCTGTACTCCCTACTTCAATCCTTGTAATTCCATGACCATGAAACAAGTAAGAAGCAGAGAAAGCGTCTGTTGAAAGAAAAAACATTTTTCCTAAAACAATTCTCTATTCTTTAACTATGTGTGCAAGTTTTTTTAATTTCAGTTATGATCTCCATTATTTTGGCTGACTGCATTTTAAATAAATAAAAGTATCATAGAATTTCATTACCTATCAAATAGGCTTTCGATAGGTACTGAAATACCCTCAAATAGGGAGGCTTCCACGTAAGTGCGTTTATCTGCATGTCCCTGGAGTGCAAACTTTGGCTGCTACAATACGTCCCTCGAATCCTGCAAAAAGCCTTCTTGCAAATAAACTATTTCAGCTGAAGAACTGTTGAAACACAGTCCTCTAAGGTTCCAGTGAAAATGTGAGCAAAGGTGTATAGTATTAACACAACACAGTCACCCAACAGAACAGCTTCTCACATCTACTCTAGTGTTGCTCTAGCTCGAAAGAGTGCCAGGGGCTAACTATTAAGTAACCATCGTCTGCCTCCCCATATAGAACGAATAATGCGAGGGAGTGAGCTCCGAACTGCTGTTACAGCATTTCTGTTCACTTTCCTTGGTAGGTTCATTCTCTTTGTTTAAAAAAAAGAAAATCTTAACAAATAAAGGCGGACAAATGAAAAACCATTATCTTGTAGCTGGGCAGTACAATCTAAAATGTAAAGGAAGACACTGAAATGCTGCTGAAAACCATGTAAGAGCCAAATCCCCGAACTGGCAGCTAAACACAGAGATTATATATTTATATAAAAGTTGGGGGAGGGGGAGGGATGAAAAGTAGTTTAAAAAATAGCACACGTGTAAGCAAAGAAATAAACTAGGATAAAGAGTGTCTGATAAAAGCAAGAGAGGGCTAAGTGCTCAGTGAAGGCTACTTATCCTGCAAGTAAACAAGGGGAAGAGTGCAGAGAAGTTTGGCGAGGCGAGGAGGTATCAGTGTTTTAACTGCAACAGTAGTCTAGCAAAGAAAAGCTAAGCTGTTAAAAAAAAGGCCTAGAATTATGGAAGATAAAAATACGTTTAAGTGCTTAGATACTTAATCATTAATTTGCAGGACACACAGAAGACACTTACTCACTTTAATAGGAAATTCCGGTTCACCACATTTTGGGAAGAGAGTGGGAAAGGAGCGAGGAGCTAAAAAACCCCAACAGGTAAGACATGTAGAAGCCTACCTTCAGGCAGCAGTTTTCTATATCCGTGGTCAAAATGGCTCCAGCAACAGAGGCCGACAGAAGCACCTTATACTGGGAAGGAGCCAACTGTCTCCTCCTCCTCCTCCTCACTGTGCTCAGTCTCTTCCCAGCATGTTTAAATTTCACATCTGAGATTCCACAGGGGATGGCTCAGTTTTCACTTCCTCATCTATGCTATGTATTCAGCCCTGAAGAATCAGCCCTTAAAACACCAGTCGTACTTTGAAAGATATTACTTCATTAGCCTTGCATTTGGAAAAAGGTCTTTCAAGAGACGAGACAATTCAGCCTCAGGAATTACCTATCTTCTTTGCATTCCCTAACCACAATGCTCATTTTCCAAACCATGCATTTCTCAACAAGTTAGATTAGGTTCACCAAAATAACATTCAAACTTATATTTATTTCCATACTTTTCTTTCCCTTTACTCCCAAGCCACGCTAAATGTCTTTACATGTTTTAAGCCAGATACTTAGACAAAACATTTTTAAACTTTATAAATCCCTTTTGAATTGCTAAATTGCCCAAGATCCAGAAACCATAACAGACAAAGCTCCCACTGCACTAGGAGCTGTACAAACATACCCAAAGGGTAACAGTCTCCCTGAGATAAAGACTAACCTCTGAATGGGAGGTATCTAACTCTTCATAAAAAGGGAGCACAATTTTTGCAGTATTGTGCATCAAGACAAGGAGATCACAGAAATGCTGCAACAGTGGATGCTGTATGAACAATAACCCGCACTTCTAGAGGAAAACACAGCAGTAGTGGCTGTGTTAATAATGCTAGGTTAACTTAACACAATAGCATAAGCATGTAGTGGCAATGCTTGGAAATAACATACTTTGCAGGTTCTATGCTCCTATGAACAACAGGGGATTATAAATTCAAGGAACTAGGTCACCTGCAAAGCACTGGTTCATAAAATCCAGATCTAGTCAGAAATGACTCAAACCTGCTATCAAGAGCTTTCCAGTGGCTCATATGAAGAGAGTCCAGTGGACCAAACAGACCACACCACAACTCATCTTCAAGTGGCAGAGTTGCCAAGAAGCTAAGGAATAGCTAGAAAGTGAGTGAATACTTTATCCCAAGAAAGGTCCCTTCTGGATCAAGTTTGCAACACAGGGAAGTACGAGGGAATCCACACAAACAATTAGTCTGGTCTATAGCTATTAGTTTCCAAAGAGACCTGTACTAATGGGTCAGAAGAATGACATTTCACATTTCTGTAAACAATTGTTCAATATTACAATAAAAATAGCCTTGATTTTCACTGGCCTCGAGAGTTAAAAGCTAATCGTTCCAACTTAAAAATAACAAAGAAAAAGGTGGGCAAATAGGAGTAATCATAAGCTTTCATTCTGTCCTTTTTGTGTGCAATCTAAAAACCTGGCGAAGCACAGTCAAGAACATGACGTGATTTTCACTCAAAGGAGAAATCCTACTTTAAAAGCAGTAAACTCAACTACTAACAACACTGTCTCACGCTGTTGATCATATGGGATGAGGAGAGAGAAACAATAAATAAAATCCCTGGCAACTACCCTGCCTCCATATACTGAATGAATGCTGCTATAAAGAAAACATATAGAAAAAAGATGCAAGTCCTGAAAAAGCCATGCTAGTTGAGCATTTTTTTAGATGAAAAAAGTAAAACTCCTAGAAGTAACTCCAGAAAGCTACTGTACAGTATAGCATACTTTGGCTAAAAGGAGTATTTTGCATATATTTTCCTTTATGAATCTCAGAATTGAAAATATGCTTGTCCAAACAGACCAGTTTAACTGACTACACAAATCTCAAGTAAGTTTAACTTCTGAATTGGTACTTCGCTTTCAGAGGATGCTCTGTTGCTTTAGTTTCAGTCAATCCCTACTGCTAACGATAAATGGAAGTAAATTTAAACTTAAGCGTTTACAAAGAATCTTGTATTTTTCACTAAATAAATGAAGATAAATCACTGCAACTTTCTCATATGAAATAGGAGAAGGATTATTTTTACTATGCTGAATTTGGAAAACGGTGCAATTGCTGGAACTCCGACTAGCTGGGTACCCATGTTCTTCACTGCCCTGCTGACTCCGTTTAGACATCTGAACGGAGCTGAGGAGAGCATGAGCGCTTTGCCCCAAGGAGATTTTTATTTAGCTTCAAACTGGGGGTCAAAGCATGCAATGGGTGCAATAAACAAACTATAAATCCTCGTGCCAAATTATTACTGCTATACGGCATGCTTAATTTAAAAAAATATGCAAACAAAATCCCTGAACCTCACCAACCGTCTCGGATCTTCAACTAAAAAGCCTCCTAAGCAGCCAAACTTGACAGTTCATTTGCTCTCTCATTTCTCTTTCCCTCCTCCCTCCCCCAAAACCTTGGAAAAACTGTGAGATACTAATTACTCTTCTGGGACAAACATTTCTACTTGAAAACATTAAGTACAGTTACTTCAAAATAAGTACACACAGTAGCTCTTATTTTTATTTTTCTGCCAAAAAGTCCTAAAAGCAAACAGAATTAGTAAAAAGAAAGGACAAAAGCATGAATGATCTTTTATTTCATTTTATTTTTTCAAAAGGATATCATAACTTTCTGTTTTAAGGAAGTCTTAACCAGAGGAGTCCTGTTAATCAAAGTTTGCAGGCACTATACAAAGATGCCCTCTTTGTAAGGTAGCTCTATTGGCTACGTGGAAGTTTAACCGTGCTTCTACGCCTTGGAAAACCTTATGGATAACTGCACAACTATCACTACGTATGTATCCTAGGAGACGAAAGAGCTTTCACAGTTAAGGGCTTATTTTCCAGCTATGCTCTCAATACAAGTCTCATGAATTTATAAATAAAACAAGTAGCCTTGAGAAAGGAGAAAGCTGTTTTAATTTCAGCCAGAATTTATACTGACCTTTGCCTATTGACCAGTAGAAACATTTCATTATTTCACTTCAACTTCCTTCTCGTCTTCTGACTAAAAAGACGTTAGAAATCGCTCATAATTCATGAAATGTGTTTTAAAACTTTAATTTTATAAAAATTTTAGCTTTGTTCATTTTTATCTTTAAAAGATAAATCACATTCATACATGCAAATCACCCAAAAGAGCCCTTGTGCTCGTACATGTGAAATTTAGACTCCTGACCACAACATTTCGCAAAACATCAGCATGTTAAATATAGCATAATAGAGAACCACAGAATTTAGGAAATACCTTCAGAATGATAAATGCAAAAAAAGGAAACAAAAGGCATAAAACAGTTAATATGAGAGAGACTCACTTTCCACTTGGGCTTAAAACGGTCTGCACCCTTGAAACAAGCTCAATTTAAAATATTTCCTTTGTTTCTTGTCTGCAATTCTTGTCACAGGTTCTAACCTGCAATTAAATACCCCGAGTCCAGCCTCTGAAGACTAGCTTCTTTAAAAATGCAGAACAGACCCCTGGACACATCCAGGTAGCACTGCTCACAAACCCTCAGCAGGCAGGCAGGCAGGCAGCACTTGGAGCGATTACAAAACCCGCCACGTAGAACATGACAGCCCCTTCCCTTAATCTCCTTTTTTAGTCAAATATTTCTTACCGTTTCATCCCAGAATTTGCAGGAGGAGAGGAAGGAGTACCACATACCTGCACAGTAGAAAGGAAAAGAAGAATATCCTGTCGTTCCCATGGAGGAGGAGCAGATCACATGACACCAGAGAACTTCAAGGAATAAGGTTGTCGGCACGCTGGTTCGTACAATGAATTCCCCACTGGGTAACTAAAATAGGATCAACCCCTTCTACAATCACTGGAGCACCTCTCAGGATTTGATTTACTTAAAGCAATAAATTCATCTGATCACCTCCCCTCATATGAATCCCAGTCAAGCCTCAATGACTACAGCTCAGTAAACACTAACCATCACAGAAGCCAGTATAAAAGATCTGCAGGCGTTCTCGTATACTATGTCCTTTTCAAGTACTAAATCTAGCATTAAAATTAACTGCAGGCTAAAACGTCGCCAACAATTTCTCATGAATGCATAATGAAATAGCGCTACTATATCTAGCGCGTTACACTTTTTAAGTGCACTCAGAGAGCACATGTGCTCATCACACACAGCAAGAATAGTTACAGTAACACCATGGATATACTAGCTTTACAACACATACAGGACATTTCCAAGCCTATGTGCTAAGAATATTATGTAAAGCCTAGACCAGCAACAGAATGACTGCATAGAAAACAAAGAGTTGGAGTATATATCATTATTTTATTTTCCTTCCCCTCCTCTATTTAAGGAAATTCTGCTGCTATTTTTTAAAAAAAGTATTTTTAAAAAATGTTTAGAATTGTCCTCGAAATTCTGCATACTTTCTCAAAAAAAAAAAACCCCTCTCAAATAATTTCTATACAGTTTTATAAACTCCTCAATAATATCTCAATTCTAGAGGGGAATTCGGTGCATAAGTTAGTTTTACATCTTGAAATTATTCTTTTATCAAAGTATTCTTTTTTCTTGCAAAGTAGATCACTTTTTATCTTTTCTAATACTAAATATACTAAATATTACCAGAGCCACAAACTACAAACCACTATGTTGCACTGTATTAGCCACCACTTTTATAATATCCAGTCTCTTGGATTTCAATAACCCCATTTTCAAACTGAATACTTATGTATGTATGATACAAATAATACTAAATACAAATGACACGCAGCACAGTCTACTAAACAGGATAATTGCCATAGCCCTCAGGAAACTCTCCTCTCCCTTCACTTATTTAGTTCCATCTAGTGAAAAAAACCCCAAACCCCATGAAGAAGAATACATAAAACAGTAGTAGGAAAACACTTTCCAGTTGAGAAACGTTCAATCTGGTGTCTCAAAGGACGCTTCAGAAGACTTCAGGACGGTCTTTACGGCAACCCTTTGAGAAAACATGACCGCAAAGTAAGTTCTGCATCTGAAGAAGTACCCGAATCTTTTTTCTTGGCTCCGTTTGGCTTGACATGGCTTTAAACAAATGAGAGCAGACGAAAAGCCTAACAGTGAGGACTGATGTCTTTTTGGTTGACAGAAAAGAGCTCCATGGCCTAGGTAAGCCTCCAGTAAGTGGTAAAATAAATCGTCAGATTGAAAGCATGGCCCAATTCACTCCGGTCAGGTAAAACTTGCAAAGGTATTTCAGAGACCTAGACAGAGCTCTAGAAATATTAATGTCTTTTTTTGTTTTTAAATATTTGCCACTAACACAGTATTTCATCTGAGGAATCAATAAACTAATCCTGGCAAAAGCATTCCTATGTCCGCCCAAAGTATACCTGCATGGGGCTTACCTTAATATAAAAGCATCATTTAAAAAAAAATTGCTTATAACCGGCATTTGCTAAGATACCAAGATCTTTTAGCACGGAGAGCAGGGGATCTTATCTGTAGTGTAAAAGGGTGCAGAGAACTTTGTTTTTACAGCAAACAACATGGGCAAAATCAGAGCCCTCCCTGTACTGCACATATAGCTGCTCCCTCGGTCTGCCCAGGATTGTGCTAAGGTTCCTCAAAATTCCCAACTTAAATAGGGAAGCTCCTTTAACTACAGGCAAAGGTGGAGGAAGAGAGCCAGGATTTGCCTTCTCTTAAATGAGGAGAGTTATGGAGGCAAATTTATAATCTACTAGATTTGTATTGTAGTAAACTTCCATAGGATACTTAGCCCCTTTTTAAGCCAATCACTCAAAAATAAAAGAGACCTCATCCCTGAACAGTGCACAGTAATACAGAGAAGGCAAGAGCTGATTAGGAGGCTTCCTTCATCCAGTCTACACACCTGGTTTTTTCACATCATTTTTGAGGCCTACTAACAAAGTGGACCTGTCTCATGAGTGAGTTGCCACAGTTAATTTCTCTTTGGTAAAACGTGGGATGAGACAAACTAATGCACGACTTCATCCAAAAGTTTATAATGCACAGATGCCATCAGACTAAATTGAAATTCTGCTTTTGAGCCCCAAAACTGCTCTCAGGAGCCATATCTTCAAAAGAGCCAAATGATTTAAAGAATACGCTATCGCTCTGATTGATGGACCTATTCCTTTCATCATCACAGAGTTTAATGAAACTACAGTTTCAGTAATGCTGTGCAGTCTGGAAAATTAAGACTTTAAGATTTGATTTCAAGCCACCATGCCACATGACCACAGAGTTTAGTATCCCAAACGAGTAGTTGTCTGATGAGATTTTATTAAAAAGAAAAAAGCCCATCATGACTACAAAAAACCGCGTTATACTAACCTCAAGAAAAAAAAAAGTATTTCCTAAGAAAGAGGTAAACAACTTTTACCCTCATTAAAAAGTTGAGAAATGTGCACACCATCACTAAAATAATTAATATAGAGAGTATTAGAAGATTCAGAAGAGTCCAAAGGAACAATTTAACTAACCACCCGCTGATTTCACAAATGACATGAACACATAAAGATAACGGCATCTTATAATTGAAAAGGTCCTGTTTATTTAGCTGAGCAATTGCGCTGGTCCATTTTGTGCATAAATATGAGGAAAAGTGTTTTAAATTCACTGCATTTTCAACTTTGTAAGGTGTGACAGAAGATTGCAACGAGCACGATATGCTTGCAATAATTTATACTTATTTAATGCCTTTTGCCCAAGAACCTCAAAGCCACTGACAACTATTAAGGCCTTAACATGTCTGCACTCTTTTGTCAAGCTATTTTTCCTTAGTTTACATATGGAAGTAAAGACCTTGCCCAAAGTCACTCGGCTCATGTTACGTGTCTTACCCTGGAGAGTAGTAGATGCCAGAACAGAACCATCCCTGGTCTAAAACCATTAGCCCATGCTCTCCTCGAGAACATCAAAAAGGCAGAGAGAAAAAAAACCAATTTAATTGGTATGCCACTTCAAACAAAATATTGCCTAGTGTAGGGGATTTACTTTATATATATAGTTCTACCCACTTTGATACAACGTGATCCTCAGTAAGCCCCATGAAATATTTCAGTTCAAGATACTGTAAACTCATTTTGCAATTTCTCAGCCTTTTCCTTCATGTAGGAAAAGCTTCCTCTCAGCTACTGCATTCTTTATTAAAACTGAAGAGAAACAGCTTTTATCAAGCTAGGAAAATAATATAACAAAGTATGTGAAAGGCTTTACCTCATTTTTCATCTCTGGACATTTCAGGGATCAAACCAAACTGAATTAGTGTTCCTTCTTGCAGCTACAAAACTCAAAATGACTTTGTGCTGCTACATTACAGCCATCAAAGTCTATTTGGCTGAGCATGAAACACCTAAATTTATAAGCTGTCCATCTCCCCGTCTAATGGATGTGCGCAAAGCATTCATTTATACCCGCTTTGGGACATAAATAATTTTAAAAAACAGACTGAACAGATTCTTCAAGCACAGCAGTCTGCAATGAAAAGTTGTTCACTAGGCTAAAAGACTTTGCTTACAGGACACGACAACACAGCCATAAAATGAACCTTGGTGATTTGATGCTGCAGCAGCACTGGCACGCCAGGAGGTGGGCAGGTGCCTTGCGAATCGGCGTCTCGAGACCCCGGGTCCCACCTGCCCTCCTCTGTCAGCAGGATAGCACAGCACTGGCTCTCTGCCCATTATAGGAAAAGCATTCCCTAATGTAAATACCAGTAAATGCTGATCCCAGTAGTATCGTTCTACGATACGTCCGGTTGAAGCAATTTGTTTGCTTGTATACGTTATAAAGAAATTTCATTTTTATGTACAGAATTGCAGAAATTTCTTTACTTGCTGGTATTAGTTATTCATATTTTCTGTTCTTGAGGGTTACCTATTCCTCTGTCTTAACGATACTTGCATTTTATATAAACTCACTCCATAGCAAGCAGCAACGAGGCCTACCCAACTGTACTAGCTGCATATCACCAACTTCCTAGTGCAACCAGATATGTAAACATCTTTCTAAAATTATGAAACCTCCCATTACTTACACGCACTACAGCTTATTTACTAATTCTCACAATGTTATCAAGAAAACAGAGCAAAGCCTGCACAGAGTCTTGGATCTCAGGACTTCGCAAGGTCAGTATTTACAGCGACCTGTGCAACAGTTCACAGAATTTTACCTAATTACTCTACTGAAGGAAATGATTTTTCCCTACTACCTGCATGACTGCTGCTAAGCTCAAAAAATAGAGGCTGAACTACAACGCTTGCTTGAGAAAGACACTGAATCTCACAAGTAGCATCTGTGCTCTACACCCAAGCAGCGACAGCACCTTTATGTCCCTTTTTAATACTCCCTTCCCTATGATTCCTCAAAGGACTCTGTTAGGCACCTTGCTGCAGAACTGAGCGAGGAGCTGTTTTCCAGTGGTTACTTACAATGACTGCTGCATGTTTTCAGGATGTTCTCACCCTGTAAAAAAGGTTTTGGTTTTCTGCTTTCACATGTTAAGATAGAATACATTGCTTAAATTGTAATACATCATTTAACTGCCTCCTGCTTACAAAATGATCTGGATTGTTTGATATCCCTGACCCATCTCCAACATTTAGCTCTGCAATAAGCTTTATCGGAAATGCTTGCTTTTTTGCATGCCATTAATATATTTCGAAAGACAATAAAAGAACTCCAAAAACTCATGTACCCATTCTATTCCTCACTAACAACTACATTTTGAGTTTTCTGAGTGATCTCTTAAACTAAATAAGTACCTGTACTAAGAGCATGTGCATAGCAGGCAGATTGCACTATGCTAGGCTAACTAGGTAACAGCCTTAGACAGAAACACTATCCACAGCTAGAGAAAGTCTTAATCATACAAATATTTGTTATATCAGCCACATTCAACTTGGGAAGATTTCCAAAGAGAAATGCAATTTCTGTATGTAACTTCCATCAAAATTCACGGGCGACGTGGCACAGGGGACAGGAAAAGAGAGTCTTCAATAGCATGAGCGCTCTGAATTTTTCTCAGAATATCAAAATTTGCCAGTGAAGAGACCAGAAATATAATTACTGATCCTGAAGTTGACTTTCCTTAAAATCTGCCGCTAAGAATTCTTGTACTGCTGAAGCTTGTTTATTTTTAAACAGGTTAAATGCTGCCTATTTTTCCCCCGCCAACAGGCATATTTAGTACTCCTTTATAACAACATTCTCTCAAGTATTTGCGTACAACGCAAGACCCAGAGCTGTTATGATCTGATGCTTGTTCATGAAACTGCCACCAACTATCTCAACAGACAGTGTGGATGGGAGGTCAGCAAATGACAGTCCTCACTTTTGCCCTCTCCTGATCTCTGAACCCACTTCCATGGGAG